TAGGTTTTAAACTTTGTCAGTGGTGCTTTCTTTTTAATGTTTCTTAAATTATAAGCTGACCTTTTTGCACAATGCAAAGGATCTGATAATTATTGCCTGATGGAAGATTTTGCTGTGAAAAGGAACTTGTGGTTTGTGAAAGCCTGGCAGAGCCAATCCTTTATCTCTTGGCCCTTGCCTGGCATGGGGGGTGTTTGTGTCGGTGTCACTGAGCTCTGGTTCTGTTTTACTGCTCCTTCCATGTGTGCTGTGTCCCTGAGGGATGGCACAGCAGCATTATGGATTAACACAGCTCTGACTTGTTCAAGGATTGTGTAAATCAGGCCAAAGGTTCAGGGTGCCTGAGCCAATCTTGCCACTCTCCTGTACAAAGCAGAATTTTGTGTTTGGACAGTTTCTTCTGCTCATAATGTTCAGAGGTATTGATTTGGCAGCTCCAGTGTGTGATTTAACATTTTAAATTATATACTGTTATTCATAATGAGATTTTTTTTCCAGACACAGTGAAGGTATGAGCACTTTTTATTACTAGGGTTATAGAGGGTTTTATAGAGGATTGATTAATTAAAATGCTGAATTCACCTTTTCCATTTGTCTCCTTTTTCTATTTCCTTTAAAAATTGTGTGCTTGTGTTCTTCTTCCCATTTTTTTCCTCTTGCTCTGAAAGACTTGTGTAATTTATATAGGATACATAGACAAAAGAGAAATCAAAACCTCCTGATTCCATTCTGTAAATACCTACTTCCAGCCAGTAAGCAGTATTTCCTTAAAAAGAAAAGAGATTTCTGGACTGGCAGGTGATAGGTCTGTTGTGTGTTTTGGAGCAGTGTGTGCCCCAGTTATGTCAGATCTGAAATTCTAATTATGAATACAGATCAATGCCATGACAGAATCCCAGACACAATGGTGATGGTCTAGGAGAGAGAGTGACTGTAACACTTTCCAACCACTGAAATTCAAATACTCCTTCACAGAATTCAGTAGTACACAGCAGATTCTGCTGGATAAACTAAGCAACCCTATTGTCAGCTTGGTGTCTCAGGAGGAGCCTTTAAACAGAAATATTCACTCTTCTGGTCTTCTGTCTCCAGAATGGAATTTGCATTCCAAACCTGCAGCCAGCAGTCACCAATTGCAGTCACATTGCTTTTGCCCACCTTGGAAGGCTGTGATAATTCCAATGGAGGGTTTCAGAATTTTTCCCTTTGTAATTATTTCACATGCCTAGAATTAAGTTTGAGGCACTGAATGCAGATAAGCAACTACACACAAATTAGCAACAGTTAAAAATTGCAGAGGCTTGACATGTAAATGTTAATAGATGGTAAGATACCTTTGGAATTTTGAGATGTGTAGAAAAATTGGAAAATCTGGTATTTGTGACTGTTCTCTTCCTATTCCCTATTTGTTTAAAATCCTTTGGGCTCTTGCCATACAGAATTCATTTGCAGATTAAGCATTTCAGGGTAAGGAAACATATTTTAGTGGTTGAAAGGTACCTGGCACACTTTGGGGAGCTTGCAGCATATTCCACTGTTTTAGCAGGAGACTGCTGCAGAAAATAAGTGTGGAGGGAAGGGGACTCTTAAAGGCTCATCAGTTCCAAGCCTTGAATTTCACTGGAATGAATGGGAATCCAGTCTAGTGCAGGTAGGTGAATACAGGGCCATTATATTCTGGGTGAGACCCTTACAGTAATTTATAAAATTAATTTTGTGCAAAATATCTTGCTGTAATTCAATGTAGAGGTGGGAAAACATGGAGAATTTTGGTTACATCTGTGCTTGAAGGCAGACATTTCTCCAGATCCTTAGCACTGTACAGTTAGAAAAACAGCATCTACTGCTGCTCTACAGACTTTTAAGATGTGGTTCATAATAGGATTAGAAACTTCAGTGTGCTTCCTCAGTATAAAATTACCATTTCTGCTGAGGGTGTGATGATGAGCAGTGTCACAGGCATTGAAACAATGTGTGCACTTGAATTCTGCCATAGCCAGGACATGAAATGAAGGCAGCAATTAACTCCTAAATGTGAAGGCAATTCCCACATTTCCCATAGCAGTAAAACTATCCCAAAGAGAGAGGTGAGCAGGATGGTTAGTGAGGTTGTTAGGTAAAAGATAGCTTTTGAAAATAGGTTATCACTGGGGGTTTTTGGCAGGTATTGCCACCTCTGCTTTTTGGACAGGAAGACTTCACAAATCATAAGCCCTGTGTGCTTCATATTTAAACAGCAGACAGGGAGGAAATGGACTTCTAGTGTAAAATATGGCTGTAGCTCCTCCAATGCTGTAGAACTTTGATACTTTATATATTTCACATGGGCAACTTAATAACTAAAGGAGATGATCTTGTTGGGTCACCATTGTTCTCTCCTTACAATTCAGTCAGTTGCTAGGAAGGGGTGCCCTTCAGGTGTCAGTGAAGTCTGGGCCTCTCTTAGCAATGCCAGCATGGTGTAGCTACACACCAGTTACACACCAGTTACACACCAGTTACACACCAGTTACACACCAGTCACCCTGAACATACAAACAGCCATTGGGCACTGCTGCCACTGCTTGGGAGTATAGAGAGACAAAGGCAGAAATAATCTTCTCATTGCCAGAGCCATTATTGTAAAATAATGAACAAGGAAAGGAACAAGAAAGCTTGAAAATGGGGCTGCTGCTGAAATGCAATGACTTGCTCAGACATTTTGACAGATCTTAGATGATGAATTGTTATTCTGGATTTTATAGAATCTAAAAAGTCTGCAACTTGATGTGTTCTCTGCCCCTTTTTAATTTTAGTGAACCCTTATTTGTGGCAAACCTTTTCACTGTGCAAGTCCTGTCTGCCATTGCCTTCAAAACCTTGTCTTTGCAGAATGTAAATCACATCAGAAGAGAGATTTCAATCAGAAGATTGAAATAGTTCTGTTATCAGAAGTCTGCCATGGAACTGTTCCCCAGTTCAAGCTTTTTAGTGACTAGGAAGGTTTTATACAGGTAGTGCCTGAATTATTTTTTTCCCCTAAATGCTGCTAAATTGAGTTCAATATATTAGTTTATATCTGTTTTTTTTGGCTAATGTAGCATTTTAGAAATGAATTATCAAGCAAATAAATTTTAATTTGTTTTAAATTAAAAGCCTTGTTGCCTGGAATAGCCAATGATCCAAACCAGCTGTGCAAACCATCTGTACCACTGCTTGATTAAGGCAGGTTTGCAGCTACTTTACATAACCAGAGCAATGTAAAACAGCTGGGCTGCATTTGGGAATTTGGCCTCAACTGTTAAAAACTCAACTGGACAATTCTGAAATTTAAGAATATCTCCATGGTCTAGAGAGGACTGTATTCAACTAATGCATTGCTTTGCTTGGCTGCATCCAGCTAAATAATCTTGAAACTTCTCTTTGGATGTAATCTTTGCTAGAGAAAACTCTGGCCATAGTTGCTGTTTTGTCTTAACTTGCTTACATTTTTGGTAACTGGATCCTATGATTTCTGTGTTGAGCAAGTTTAGATACTTGGAGGAATAATTCTTTTTACATTACCCTATAGCAAATCTCAAAGATTAAGTGCACACAGGTCAGGTTGGTGTAGGCTAACACAGATTTTTCTATGCAAAGATAACTCTGAATCAGTTGATTGCCACCAGTGCAGCACTGAGACCTGGAATCACCCCCTCTGGCTGGGGGGATTTAAACTGATTTTGGAAGCATAGCTGCTAAAGTCACTTTGTATAAACAGCAGAGGAAGACAGGTATGTTTGAGAAGGGATTTCATGTCTAAAGGAGGATGACTTGTGTTCTGTGAATGTTTTTCTCTCTTCCTTGGCTATCTAAATGTTGATGAACTAAATCCTGACCTAAGTTCTGTTTTTTTCCCATCTTTCTTGGCAGAACAGCTCCAGAAGAACTAAATAATTACATTTGGTTTTCCTAATAAATGTATTTCTTGTTTTAATTCTATAATAGCTGGTTAAGCAATCAATCAAAAGCAGACTTTTTAAAAATTATATAGAAAACTAGAATAATGTTTGACATGTAGACTGTAATTATATGAATTTAAAGGGACAAACTCAAAGCTTACCTTTGTTTAATGAATTCTGTGTGTCTTGCCTTTCTTGTATTTTTTTCATTCTCTGGTGTTTTCTGGCATTATCCACATTCTAAACAGTGGAATATATATTTTGAATATAAAATTTGCCAAACCTCTTAACTCAGAGATTGTGCCCCTCTCAGTACATTGCAAGATGAGATATGTGCATTTTAGAGTGCTCTATTTAATTAAAATCATTATTGTTGATTAAAACATTTGCTTCTCCCACAGGAAAATCGAAATGGCAATCTGGGGGAAAAACAAAAAGGGTGACTCAAGGAACACACAAGACTGCAAAACAGGTATCTGCTCATTTCTTACTGTGACATAAAATAGATGACAACACTGTTTGTCTGTGAGATCACTGGTATATTGGTGGCTGATTAATCCTTTTCTAAAACTGTGCATACATTGTATTTTCAAAGCATATGAATTTCAAAGTCAAGTATTCAGAAGTTAAAATTGCCAGAATTTAGGTTATCTTGCTCAGCCTTTCCTTTTGGCACTTCCCAGCCCCTGCACACTTGACTTATTGGCATTGAAGCTATTTTAAGGAAAGTGCTGTTCAATAAAATGATACAGGATTGTCTTGCTGTAAGTGTGCTGCTTATACAAGGGCTGCCTCTCTTCCCAGTTCCCAGTCAAAGGAAATTTCTTACCTCATGTGTTAGTGGCTCAAGTCAGTATATCTTAATTTGGAGAAGAGTCCAAGTGAGTAAAATTTCAAAGAGTTAGGACTGGAAAGCAAGTTTGGATGAGACTTGTAAAGAAGATACTGCTCCTATTTTTATTCAGTTTTTTTTCTCTCTGTGATAATAACCTTTATTACATTAATAAAGCAATACCTCAATCTTTCCTCATGTTTAATATTTTAAACCACTGTTTTTCTTTGATTTATGGATTTAGCCATTAGTACAGCTTAAGCCATTTAATGTTTTGAGGCAGCCTGTCAGAATTTGGTAATAAAGCATATGGAAAATGTTATTTTTTTGAAAAAAGAAAAATGTTCTGGATACTGCTGTAATTGGTGGCTTTTTCAGTTTTGGCTTAGTTTTGTTGAGCTTTCACTTTTAATTTTCCTTTACATATAAATGGGCCACTAATCTCAAGAAAATAAACTTACAAGAGCTGTTTCATATGATCTTACCAACCTCATCTTCCTTTCAGTAGGGTGCTGGCAAATAAACATTCAATAAATTTTGGCATCCCAGGAGTATAAATATACATTGCATACTTTCCACAATTCCAAGGCAAGTTACTGAAACTATTAGGAGGAAAAGAAACAAAATAAAAACCACCAAGAGATTCAATTTAAGACCACTTTCATCATCCATGCTGGGCTACTTGGCATGGAAGAAGTGGTGTTTCCATGTCTGTTAACTTCAAAGGTGCATCAGCTTTGCATCTTCTGCACTTGAAGGTTTGAACTATTGCTGCAAGTTAAAATACTTTTTAATGCTGATTTAATGCTAGCCTGCTTGTGTGATAGTGTCTGCAAGAAATCAGAGGCTTTTGTCCTTTCCAAGGTGTTCTGCTGGACCATTGGTAGCTGTAAATGTTGTTTGGGTTTTACTGAGACCCTGAAAGTCTGCTTACAGGCTAATGATGGAACTGCTGTGGCTTACAGAGCCTACACAAGGTGTTTTTCTCATTAAAATATGGCTGACATATAAATGGATGCCAAATACAGCAGGTGGATACATTTGTTGCTAAATATCAAAACATTTTCAGTGACATTGTCTTTTAAAGATAGGTTTGAACATGTATCTTTCAAAGAGTAGGAATTATGCACGTTTCCCATTCCAAAACAACTGATCCTTTTTATCAGCAGTATTATCTGAATGACTAAACCTGATCACTTTGCTGAGGTCACATTTTATAAATACAGACAGCAACAGGTAGCACTGTTATTTTAATGTAGCTATTTATGATTCTGGAGTTGAGCTTGCTTCATTATAAACAGTAGTTTCAAGGAGCTATAAATTAGCCAGAATATAAGCTTTGCTTTAAATGTTTTTACACAAGCCCTCAGCCTAGGAGCATCTTTTTTCCTAGCAGTTTGTTAAAAGGTGACTTATGTAATGGAAGAAAAAATATGAAACCTTTCTGAAATTGCTTTTCATTGGTTGTTTATGCCATGCATCTTTCTGAGCATGACTCTCATGCATACATTAACTGGGGTTATCTGGAGTACAGCTGAAGCACTTGGAGATGTATGGAAGGGTAGCAGAGATGTTGGTGTGATTGCAGTAAATCAGTGCCCATTCTTCTGCAACTTAGAGAAAAATTAGCAGCTCACCACAAAAGCAGATGAGAGCATAAGCACTAGCATGTTTGTGGGGGTACCAGTCATTGGTTTTTCTGGGTCTGGATTGAAGGCACTTGAGACAGTAATTTGTGTTGGAATCAAGTGTTTATTTCTTGTCAGTAAAACAGTCTCACCACTGTGAGTCCAGCTTTTCATTAGAAGGCACAAAATGGCCAACAATCTCTTGCTACAAGGGCTTTTAAGACTAAACTATCCAATTAAGAACTGACACCTAGATTATTTTCCCTTTTAACCCAATAACTGATCCCAAAGAGCCCCCAGTGCAGACTTTTCTGCCCAATTACAAAGTGCCACCCAAACCTATCAAGAAGAAGGAAGAAGAAGCAGAAACCCAGGACAACACACTGTGCCCTCCATCTTGCTTCCATCCACAACTCTCTGGTTCACATTTTAAAAATCCCAAAACCTAAATTTCTCACCAAGTGATACACCTACACTACTCTGTACAATCTATGTCACACTTTTGTGGATTCTAGTCTATCTTGGAGTCTAGGAAACTTTCTCCAGGAATGAGAGTCAAAGTCAGTGCTCCCCTGGGGATCAGGACACCCCAGAGCAGACAGAGAAATATTCCTGGTGCCCTGGGTTTCCACACATGTTGGCTGTCCCCTGCACCTGTGCAGCAAAGCAGTACTGGCTCAGTTAAATCTGTGTTTTAGGGTGCATTTCACTGGCATGAACACGTTTTACCATGAGGGTTTAAAAACCATCATGTCATATGTAATGTCTTGGTATAGAATTTCCCTGTGGTGGAATATTGCTGGTATGTTTTTTAGTAAAATGCTATTTTCACCTCTGGATATGCACATCTGTCAGAAAAAGTAATACAGGATATGTAATTAGAAAATGTATCTTTCCAGTGTGCTGAGAGGCAGAGTATCTCATATGGAATGCAAGTATTATAACTGTCAAAGGAACAGAAAAACTGTCAAAGGAACAGAATCTAGTTGATCATAAGTGCTGCCTATATTTAAGAAAGTGTGTGTTAAAAACCTCAAGTGAGTGCAATGATGTCGTTGTCTTCAGTGAAGCCATTCTTGTTCACAGATGTTTCAGTTTGCTGGTGAAAGGTGTGTTGCACAGAAACCCAACTCCTTCCCACACTTCTGTTTGCTGTTCTCCTTTCCCCTTGGACCTTCTTGTTTTCAGAACAGTACCTTGGACTGTAAATTAGCAGCAGCAGCAGGAGCTGGAGACAAAAGCTTTGACAAAAGCCCGACAAAGGCCAGGCAGCCTCGCAAGGTGGATCTGCGGGCTCGCTACTGGGCCTTCCTGTTCGACAACCTGCGGCGCGCCGTCGATGAGATCTACGTCACCTGCGAGTCAGACCAGAGCGTGGTGGAGTGCAAGGTAATGCCCCAGCTCTCCTTGCCTGCCTGCCTTCTAGCTGGCTTTTCTTATATTTTAGAAATATGAGAGGTAAATGAGGAATTAGAGCTTCATTTGCATTTTGTATAGGCTTTTAGATAGGAAAGCTAAAGATATATGTAGTCATATTTAAGAAAATGCTTTCATCTTGAGCAAGGACTAATTTTTAAATTCTATAAAACTTGTCATGCTGTACATTATATTATTAGAGCTCAGCTGTTTAGTGAAATCAGACTTTGTTAATTGAGTTCTGATTTTGTTATTTTTGTGAGTAAGCACTGATTGATTTCTTTTTCCCAGTAATGTCCTTTACTGTAGGTGGCACTGTTGTAGTTCAGCCTTTTTCACGTTCATTTGCTTGCTGTTAAGTGGCTTAATTACACTTTGCTCCCTTTCTGCAGTGATAGTTATCACTCTTCTCATTCTCCCTTTGTTAAGAAAGTGATTGGTGGTCGAGTGTAAGCAATGTCTGGTTGGGATGTCACTGTAAGACACTTCCAGTTTCAAATAACCTGGATTTGTAATAGCTTGTGCATCTGGTTCACATTTTATTGTGATTTTCCAGTAGATTTTTAGAAATACCCTTGTCATTTAATAAAAATCACTCATGCTTTGGCAATGGAATTTATCACAAGCATTAAGAGAAGTCAGAATACATTATAAAAGAAATGTTAAAGAGATGACTTTGTTTTCAGTATTAAACATGGCTGGAAACTCAACACATTCTGGAAATGATTATCTAATCACTGTAAAAAAATTCATATATCAATTTAAGTAAACTTTTTCCTTATCCTATGCATCTCATTCTCTGCTGTAATCAGACACAGCCAAATTGCTATTGAGATTAGTGTACAAATACATTTCATTGAAAGCAGCTTTGAGAACTGAACAGTAGCTCAGAGGCTTCCAAATCTCTCGTTGGTCTAACACAATTTAACATTTTGTTACTGAACTGTCTTCCTGCTCAGGAAACTTTCTGTAGAATTTTTTGGTTTAAGAAAGTCAGCCAACCTTGCATTGTAATTAAATTAGCATTTTTAACTTTTATGACTGAAAGAACAGAAGCGTATTTGTGTCATTATCACATCTTTTGGGGGTTAGATACCGTTCAACGTTTTAATCGGGCTGCTGGATCTGCTTTAGGATGGGGACACGACACAGCCTGAGTGAAAAGTCTTCATTTCAGCACTCTTGACAATGATGTATGGATCTGTATGGCTCAGGTTACTTGTTTGCAAAGCAGAGGTGAAAAAGCCCAAAAATGAGCAAGCAGGGCAGTCCAGTGTTAAATGCTGTGAAACTTATTTAATGTTCATGTCACTCTTACCTTTCAAAAGATCTTTTTTCTCAGCACAACTGTGCCTTACCTAAACAGCTGGAATATGTGTTTGTGCTGTGGTCTTTTGTCTGGGGTTTTCTTTTCCAGGTTACTGTTAAATTATGACTATTCTTTTCATAAATTACTGTAATTTCTGTTAATTAAGTTATGAAGTGTGAAACTGCTTAGTCTTGCAAAGAATTTTTACTAATAATGTTTCTCTTCTATAAATTCTATTATTTGTCATTATTTTATGGTGGTTTTGACAGACAGTCCAGTTTCTCCCATTTTGACTGTTGGACATAGGTGGGAAATAATATTAAATAAGAAACCAAAATGGTCCCATTGCTAACCTTTCTTTCATTTTTTAAAGTGGTATTTTGAAAAATCCTTTCAATTAAGATAAATTCACATTATCAAAAACTTCCTTAATTTTGACTCTTTAAACTTCTATCAAATGGGCAGGTGCTATTCCATTTAACATTGTTGTTGTCTTCTAAGAAGACCCATTGGGAAAATGAAACATGACAACTTCTGGCATTTTATACCTTCTGTTTAACCTGGTATAGAAGTGTCTGTTGGGGTTTTTTGGTATTTGGTGCCTTTTGCTGTCCCCTGTCCTAGGAGCTGCTGCAGTTTTATCGATTGTGTTGTCACTGAAGATGTTTGATGCTCCCCAGTGGGAGAGGCCTCTGGTGGCTGTTTGTGGTTGAAACTGCAGACAGAAGGGTTGTGGTGAGGATCCAAACAGTGGCAATGTGTGTAAGAGGATCAGTGCTTGTGTGCATTTCCTCAGCTTTGGGCTCTGCTGAAGTTGGTGTTCTGCTATTGATTTGGAACTGAGAGCTCTCAAATCTTGTATGTGGATATATAGATATGGCTTGGATGCTTTGTGGGGAAAGGTGTAATGAACATGGCGGAATTATTTCTGAAATAAATGAAGAGTTCTCAAGTTTAGGCATCATCTCCCTGTACATCAATCAGCTTGTGCAGTGGTGATAAAAGATTAAATATGTCCTAGTAGATATGGCTGTAACCTTCAACATTTGAAATGCAAATTGTGGGGATAGTCTCTATATTAGCTGGGGTTTTGTGTGGCTGATCTTTATATGAATATTTTACCTACGATTTTCTAGGTTTGGGTGGCAAGTGGAGGCAGAGCAGAAATGGTAAGGGCTTAAATCTCCTGCTGTATGATAAAAGGTATTAGGACCAAAAGATCTGTAGATGGATAGAAGGCAGATTCTGTAATCAGTTTTGGTTAATACAGCAGATGTCTTCAGCTGCTGTTCTTCTATGGTGTTTTCAGGTGTCTCAGCAACTGAGTTTGTATTTATATATGTGTATGTGTGTATGTATATATAAACAGAAACACTACACACTCAGGTAAACCCCTTATTGATAGAGTTTGAGCAACTGGATCCAACAACTAATGATACAGCAAGTATAGAAGAACATTGAACTACCTTTAATTTAATTTTGGAGGTATCTTCCTCCTAGAATGAATTAAGAGCTTCAGCTGTGTAAGAATCCATGTCTACACAGCTATTCTTTTCCTTTCAAAAAAGCTGAATTTTATAATTTAAAAATTGAGTTCTATATTCTTTTTACATTGCTGTTTAGCATTACTTAGAGTCTGTACAATCTTTTGTCTTTTCACCTGAGATTAGTTTCTGGAGATCTACTCAGAAAAGCCAGCATGTCTTTAGTCTGGGTATCCCTGTTGCTGCCTCTCCATCCTTTGCACCAGACATATATGTGTGTATATATGTGTATGTGTGTATTTAAGTTTTGTGTCATTGAGTCCTTGCATGTGCCACTGCATTAATTCTTCTGGAGAAAATTTCCTTTGGAAATGGTTGTGGTCCTTTGGGGCACATCCTTGTCAGGCTGGGGATTGTGGCTGCCCTGCTGAAGGTGCATCAGTGAGGAGCAGCTGAGGCCAGGGGTGCTGCATTTTACACTTGGGTCTAGGAGATCGTGTGCTTGCTTAAAATATTGTTTGTCACATACTGAAGTTGATAGAAGGAGAGTCCTTTGTCTAGAGGAGCTGCTTCCTTTCATCCCTTCCCAAAGCTGTAAGGATCACTTTGACAATCACAGTGCTTGAACCAACCCCAGAGCTGGCTTTAATTATCTGTAATTCAACCAAAGGAATTTTTGGAAGCAATTTTTGTGTCAAACTACTGAAACACCCAGTTAACCTTGAAAACATGCATTTAAAAAAAGAAGGAAGGAACTTAGTTTGTGTGCTAAAAGCATGTTCCAGTATAAAAAAAATTGAGTTTATTTTGGTAAATACATAAACTAAAATGTTCAGTATAGATAATGAAACAGCATAAAGTAGTGATGGTTTGTAAAATAGAACCCATATTTCTAGCTTGGCTAATAAGCTAAAGTACCAGTGTGGTGACTGAATTAGTTTCCCTGATGCATGTACTACTGTTTTGGGTTGGAGTAACCTTAAAATTCTGCAGTCTTTGGTACTTCCCTGTTTGCCTCTTCCTTGTTTGAGAATGGGAGAATAAATGCATGAAAGGACATTTCAAAGGGGTTAAGGGCTTCCTGAAGTGCACTCCCATTCTGCAAAATGGGAGCCTATCTAGGACTCAAGTCCTGACTGAGGATGGTTCCCACGTAGCTACTCCTGAAGATCTTTGTTGGTTACCTGGTCATTTATAGGATCACCTGTTGGGGTCTCCAGCTTGTCAGAGTGACTCCCAGAAAAGTTGCAAAGTCTCTTTTCCCAGCCCAGCAGTTGAAGAAGCACTCAGAGCTCTTCATTTCTTGGTCTCAAGGTTGTTCATTGTTTCTTATCTATAAAATTCTTTCTCCTGTCCTGCTGAGATCAGCTCAGCAAGACAGTCAGAGGCACCAGAGGCACTCTGCCTGGCCCTGGGGCTGTGTTATGTCTTTATACTAAAAACCACGTGTACAATGTTTACAATTACTTTCCAATACCAATCACCCATGTTAGACAGTGAGCTTCTACTCTAAACCAGTCTGTAAGTGCCAACATCACAGCAGCAGATGGAGGCCAAGAAGAAGAAGGAGAAAGGCTGGACACACCCAGTTCCCTCCATCTTGCCTCTTGAATCCCCATACCAAAACCCCCAAAATCTACTTTTCCACCCCATGATAACTTCACTATTATTCTACCTAAACTGTTGTGGCTTGCTGATCTTCATATAAAGTTGGTAATTTGCTCCACGGGTCATAATCAAGCCCACAGGTGTTTTGGGCTCTGTGCCAGGGTCTCTGAGCCCCCTGGCAGGGTCCTGGCCATCCTGGACAGCCAGAGGGATGCCCTGGGTTCTGACAGTCACCCAGTTGAAGAGACTAGAAGTCCTCCTTTGAGATAAATATATGGCAAGCAGAGTGATCAATGAAAGCTGGAGAAAAGAAAGGAAAACAAAAAAGAAACATGCAAAACAGAGAGGAGAAGGTAACAGGAGTTACATTGTGTCTGATTTGAGTTTCATGTCGCTGATTTTCCTTGAAGGGTTGTTTTCAGCAGTATTGCTTTCTTCCTTAGCTCAAGCTGTCTTTAAGAACCGTACAGGCTGGATGTGACCTTGAGAAATAATGCGATATAAAGCTGTTGTGACTCCAGTGCAGCCGCAGCACAGCGGCCCATGGAGGTTCCTTTTTGTCAGCAGCTTCTCGGCTGGTGCAGCTCTGCCTGGCTCGGCAGGGCGGTGGCGGTGCCGCAGGTAGCGGGGCTGGCGCGGAGCCCCGGCCGGATCCGGTGTCAGAGGACAAAGGGACGGCGCCGGCCCGCCTGCCCCCGCCAGCCCCGGCTCCCTCGCACACCAATCGAAGCCGCTGCGGCCCATCGGGGAGCTAATTGGTAATTTTAGCTGGACATCTATATGGAGTTATCTGCGTGCCTGCAACGGCGCTTTCTGAGCCACTTTTGTTCTGCTCCATCCTGCTTGACAAAATGGCCCTCATGGCTTTGGGAGAGAGATGTGCATCAGTGAGTGTGGGGCCGCTCCAGCTGCTTGTCTTGTTTGTATTCCCTTGTTCATAAAACATGGCTCGGGTTACAGCTGCATGGGTCTGCTCTGATCATTTCTGATAATGTGGAGCTAAACATTCCTTAAAATAGGTTAAACCATTTATTGTGGTTTTTTCCTGTGCTAGCTAACTTCAGAAATATAAGTCATATTCACGTTAATTCTTTTTTTTTTTTCTTCCTGAGGAATATGTAAATGGCTGACTTGAAAAATAAATGATTCAGAATTAAATTTTGGTTTCTATGCTCTCATTGTTAGTAACAGTCAGCACAACTTAGCATGAGCTAACCTAAATGGACATGAATTGGATTAGAAAGCTGAAATTTTATTAGTGGAACAGAAAAAAAGAACTGGTTGAGACACTTGAGTTGTTCATTTCTTGTAGCAGACTTTACTTAATTATTTTGGTGCTGTAAACCAACTGCTTTGTAAGAAAGATTTCTGTTAGCATTTTTGAGGAATATTTCAAAACAAAGAGCAACTTCTGCAGCAGCAGTGGGATTTGATTTCCCTCCCTGGTGTCTGACTTTGGTCAGCATATGCTCTGTGTGTGTCATAAGGAATAGTTGAAAGGATACTCATGTCAAAACTGAAGCTGAATTTCAGTGTTAAACAAAATGAATAATAATCCATATGATTTTATATGAAAAAGCCTTTTTCATGTGTTAGAGGTCTTTTTTCTGCTAAAAGGACAATTAAAAGTAAATATGTATGGGATGGGATGTTGCAACAATGTGCATTACTTACCTGGACTGTAGGAGAGTGTTTTTACTGGTTTTGCTGTCAAAGGTTTTACTGTTAAAATTTGTAGTTATACACTTAAGAACCAATACCTTCTCATTTGTAATTGTTCCCAAAATTTCTAAGTAATAATTACTTTGAGCAGAAAATTTATCTTATTACCAGCAGGAATGACATTGGCACAGTACAGAACTTGTGAAACAGCAGCATTTTGTCATTAGTGTTTTTCCTTATACCATAAAGTTATGTCTGTACTTTACATTCTGCATGTGAAGCTCATTTAAGTTTCATATTCAAGCTTCATTCATGGATTTTGATTATTTTCAGCACGTTGTCACGACAGAGTACAGGACACATTTTTCTTGTCTGTTATGAAAGCTGCTCTTTCTGGCTGCCATGAGCTCAGACTCTGTCCCTGAGAGAGGCATTCATGTGCTGTGTTGGTGAAATCCAGCTTTGCTGAGGAGGTGCCTGACGTCTGTGTTTTGTCATGTTCAGTCAGTGATTTTTGAGTTTATATGTGGAATATGAAGAATTGCTCCTTTCCCTGCCAGTGGCAGCAGAAGTTTGTAGCTTGCCCAGGTAACACAACTGAGAGTTCCATTATTATGTTTTGCTCTGCCTTGCAGTGAAAAACTGGTGCCATTAACTGAGTAGAGGCAACTTCCCTTGAATTTTTCATTGTTTCTGGATGTAATCTGACCATACCATAGGCACCACACTCACACATTTGTGCCAGCTGGGCATCAGTAGACACAGTCAATAATTTCTCAAAGTCAAGGGTGTTTTAATCAGAGACAAGACTCTTCAGCTGCTGCCATTTTGTCTGTGATTTTCTTCCTGGAGTAGTGTGAAGTTAATTGATATTTCCTTTTGTGACAGTTAATTTTATTTGTTGGAGACCAACATGTGGTTCCAGATTCAAACTGCTTCATCAAGGTTTTGCATGTTCTGAGTAAATCTCCAGCATGCCCACATAGTTTCTGACAGTGTAGGTTTTAATCCCACCCAGGTTCTGGTGCTGCTGCCTATGTGTAGTTTTGTCTACTTTTACTTCACAAACAGATTATTTGTGATATTTTTAGTTTTCCACAGACCTGTTAGGTTTTATGCAGTTTTGCCTTCTTGGTGATGTATGTTCAGCATATTTCAAAAGATAACTCTGACCAAAAAAGGGGCATAAATAATGAAACAGGTATCCTTATGTGTGTTAAGAATTATTTTCCTGCAAATGTTGCCATTTTGACCTTACACATTGATGCTGACACAGATCTTGAATAATATGCACCTTTTTTTTAGGATAAATGTTTTAATGATTGTTCACATAAAAATGTTTATTATCTGGGCTTTCTTGTTCTCAGGGGTTTTCCTGGGTTTATTTTTAATGAGAAAGCTAAATAGTAAATGTCCTTCTTTCTTTTCAGCTCTTTTATTGGGGTGGGGGATTGTTTTTAAATAGAAAGATTGATGTGATGGTTGCTTTTCAGGAAGTCCTGATGATGCTTGATAACTATGTAAGGGACTTCAAAGCATTGATTGATTGGATACAGCTACAGGAGAAGCTAGAAAAAGCTGATGCTCAAAGCAGGTAATTAGATTTATATTTTTTTAATCTACAGAGAGAGTAAAGTTCACAGTAAACTTCATTTTCTAGCAGAGCTTCAGCAAATGAACCAATTTTCCCTTTGGACAAAATGGGTGTGAGGACATTTTATGTGCATTGTCACTGTCACTTAGAAGTAGAGGATATTTCCAGTCCTTCCCTCATCTTTTCCTTTTCAGTGGTTGGTTTGATGCTTTGCTCTATACTGGAATTTGAAATAAACATTTTATTCTTGAGAAGAGGCATTATTTTGGATATGGGTCTGGCTGATAGGGTTTGTAGTTAGAGTAGAAACAATTGCTGAGATGAATGATTAAATTCAGCAGCATTTGTTAATATACTGAGTGTTTGTTAGTTCTAACTTTGCTTTAAGGTGATACAGGAAGATTTACTGTGAATTGTATTTTTAAACTTTTCTTTCCTGGGTTTGCAGACCAACTTCACTGGCTTGGGAAGTAAAGAAAATGTCTCCAGGACGGCACGTGATCCCAAGCCCCTCCACAGACAGGATTAGTGTGACATCAAACGCTCGAAGGAGTTTAAATTTTGGGTATGAAACCAACTCAGAAGTTTATTGAAGCTAAAATAAAGATTAATTTGAAGCAAAGCTCACGAATGCACTATTTTTCTGTAGTAACCAATGTATTGTTTTGTTGTTGCTAAATCATATAAGCAATTTTTTGCGTTCCTTAACAAAAAGTCCATGATCTCTAAAGGAAAATCCCATCAAGGACTTGCTTTTTCCTGACTTTATAATACATTTAATAACTGGTCATTACAAAGACCTGAATATAAAACACTGTCAGTGTATTTCATGTGATCTGTTTAGTACTCTTTTCTCTCTACAAAGCAAAGATCAGAATGTCTGTAACTGGCATTTTAAAATGGCCAGTGTGTGCAATGTGAATGGCCAGCTGAGAGAGCAGAAGTAAATACAGCTCAGAAGGAGTGAGTGTAAAGTGAGATTATGATGATTCTGATGTGTGGCAAAACTGATACTAGTTCAAATGTAGAGCATGTTGTATACTACAGTAAAGCATCTTTTACTTGTTGAAATGAAAATGGCTGAAAGCAGTTCAACAAAAATGTGCACAGGTTTAGAGCAGCACTGCCTGGTGCTGTCCCAGTCTGGAGAGCACAGATGTGTGCAGTTGGAATCTCTCTCAGGGTATGTGCTGGAAAACAACAACCTTCAGGTTTGTTGGGATCTCACTGCCCGGTTTCCTGAGTGCTTGCATTGTCCTCAGCAGAGATGTGACACAGCACCTCTGAGGATTGAGCTCTCTGAAAATCAGGTATTTCTACAAAAATGCTACAAAGTGTGTTGATGTAGGCCCTGTGTAGGTGAACCTGTTGATACCTACCTGAAACATCTGAAAGGTGTCTGCTGAAATGCCTGGTGGTGGGGAGAAAATATGCACAAGCACTCAAATGAAACACTTGAATCTGGTGGAAATCAATGCTCTTTTATTTTTATTAGCACATTGCAGCTCAGCACAATTAGTCTTTCAGCCAAGCCTTATTTGGCTGTAATAACCTGTTGCTATTGCTGCTGGAGCTGTTTTATGCACAATCACAGGGACATGATGAGAAACTGTGTGTGTTAGAGCAAGGAACAGCAAGATGAATTTTCTGTCCTTCACGCTTGCAAATTTTATGCAAGGCACCCCCAGAGGTCTGCATTATTTTGTGTGTGAGAGAGAAAATAGGATAGAAAGTAAGGGCTGAGACTTACTTGGTGCTACAGAAATTTTTGGCAGAATGCTAGGAGTTACTAAGAAAGGAATAGGGGATAGAAGAGAAGGTAGTGGTGTACCTCTGTAGAAATTAGTGATTCATACATGTAATCATCTTCACATCTTCAGAAAAGTACAGAAACTAGAAACAGGGACAATCAGAGTTATCCAACAGCATTGATGCAAAACCAAAATAATTTGGAGAAGAGATAACAAGAAGGGTGTGATAAATAGAATGACTTATGTGGAAGATGAGTAGGAAAATCTGTTCATTATTTTTAATGAAAAGGAATTGGGAGTACTAAATGGTCAAATGCCAGGCTTGAAATGACAGGAGTATTTTTCAAGATTTAGTGTGTAGAATTTATTATGCATTGCTTTGGTTGCCAAAAATATTAATGCCTTCAGAAATTAGTATCACAACGATTAAATTTAATCTTGTTTATTAAAAACAGCAATTAGTTGAGCAAATCACAACAACTTTTCAGTGTAAATTGCTGCAAGCTGGAGAGTTTGCCAAAGGAGAGGTGGTTCTGTTCAGCACTGTTGTGATGGTCTCGTAAAGCTTTCTAACAAACCATTCTGTTGCTTGCCCAGACACTAAAAGGAGCTGTGCCTTTCATTTAGGAACCCTGCAGTGACCATTTCTGCAACACGCCTGGCTCCCTCGGGTGTCAGCTGGGCCGATAAGGTAAAAGCCAACCATGGAACCAAAGCTGCCAATCCTGAGCTGGCCACAGCACAAGCCTGCCTGGCACCCCCTGCACAGAAGGCACTGCGGAAAAATGGCAAGTCCCCTTCTGTGGCCTAAGTTGTTTGCACAAACTCTGTGGGATGAAGTGAATTCAGAATGTGATGACCTGTTTTGCAAAGTACAGTGTTTAAATTCAATATGGAGATAAAAGATTGATGCAGCCTTTTATTGCAGTAGTTAAGTTTGAGCCAAAAGTGTGTTTTCATGTGAAGGTAAAATTCTGCTGTATTTTCACAAACTAGAATTTGATCTGTTAAAACCAGTTGATAACATCCCAAGAAGCAAAAAGTCTTTGGTCACAAACTGCCAATCTACTGACTGCAAGTTGGGATGGCTTAACAATATAAAGAATAATGCATGTCTGGGAATCTGGGAAAAGCTCAAGATCGTTTTATATGTCCTGGAAGAACATGTTATTAGAATTATGCTGAGGTAACAATTGATGGTTTTTTGGAAGACAAGAGTTACCACATTCAGTTATGAATTTTTTTTCTAAAGATGCTCTTTAGAGAATGCTTGATTCAGGATCTTTTGTTCTAGAAAAGATTGGTTTAGTTGCAGACATAAAAAACTATCATTTGGCTATTTGATTTATAAAATTACTTTCTTTGCACTGGATCTCTGAGATTGTCTTCAGAAATGCATTCTTTTTCATTTATTTTCTTCATGTGTGGTCCCAGATGACTTTCTACAAAACCATCGGGCAGGATGTAGAAATGGATATTCTGAAAGAAAATTAAAAGTGCAATGCTTTATTTATTTATTTTTTTTTAAAGTTCTGAGAAGTGCATGTATCAATTTAAGATAGGTGTATGTTCAGCCCAGGAGCAGTAGAAGCCATGTGTGGTGACTTGCAGACTTGTGCCATATCATGGAAGTGAAACACCTTGTCCAGGGGTGTGGCATGTAACGTGAATGAGTTCAGGGGTGGCAGAACCATCACAGCCGTGCTCCAGGGGTGCTGGCTGACAGGGATCCATGGCTGCTGCCTGTGCCCAGTTGCAGTGAGCTGCTTAGAGAGCAGGAGCTGTGTGGCTGAGTTTGCAGCACTGTAGCTGATGTGTAATTGCACTTTTGAGATAAACCACTAGTTGAAGTTGCTCGTAACAAAAGCTTTTTCTGGTGATTGTTTCTTATAATAGAGGGACAGGGCTCCAAGCTGTTGCTAAAATTCCTTTATTAGGTGTTCTTGTGCATAGGGAAAATGTTGTTAGCTACACAGGGAATAAAAGTGATCTGTATTTCAATATGGATAATGTATTTTAAGGGGCTAAGAGGAAAACAAAAGACTTAATGTTACTTTCAGAGGCTTTTAGACAGCTGAAGATTCAGTGTTGTGCTGTGTTTTATTGAATGTTACTTTCAGCTGATGAGCTCCAAATAGAGAGAAGCCCCTTAGGTCGTGTAGTACTGGCTACAAGTGTTCAGTAATCTTCAAATCAAATGGAGGATGTAATCCAGACTTGAAACATTTCATTTTAAGAAATAACAGTCATTCCTCTAGACTTTGTTTATTCTTGGGAATCTCTAATTGCTGACATTGAGCATTGGAGAATTTCAGTGATTTGCTCGTGGCTGAATTGTTTTGTTTTTAACAAATCACATTCTCTGTAGGAGCACGTTGTCCTGTGTGTGGGAGGTGGAATCACTTGGGTAAGATCCAGCTATCCCCAGTGATGAAAACAGAAGAAAATCTGTGAAGTTTCTCAAGGGAGCCACAGGGGCTCTTCCCATGCATTATTGGAGCAGCTCTGAGCTCGTGTATCTGCTCTGCCCGTGCCCAGTACTGCCCTCCCCAAGCAGCTGTTTGGGGCATATGGGCCTTGGGGGAAGGGTTCCCCTGCCCACCCAGAGCCCAGCTGGGGCTTACAGCCTCAGGATTTCCCCAGACACTTTTTCTCCAGTGATTTCCAGCAGCATTATCATTAGGTCTCACAATGGTTTTCTGATGTGGATGAGTGGTATGATACTGTATCTGTTTCATGGTTGATGCAATTTCCAAATTTAACTAAGTAAGCCCTTAGGGAGAAGGAAAATGCATTATTTTTCGATATAGTTCTTTCAATCTTTCCTTTTCTGAATGCATAATTAAATGAGGTTAAATCATCTTATCTCATTTCCCTCATTAAACTTACTGTTACCCTCAATATTTTAATGAATTTTAAAAAATTGTCTTTCATGCTTGAGTGTTTTTTACAATATGGAATGGAGTCTGTTCTTGCTGTCTGAGCAATTTCTGCTCATGAATTCCCTGGTGCTTTGGTAAAAAGTGAGATGAGTTATGCAAGTTTAGAGTGTGTATTAGAAATGGAATAGGTGCTTACAATTAAAATAATGTTATGACAGGATTTAGGACAAAGAGCAGTCTAGAACATGTGAACTTCTCAGAAGCACTAAAATTTTTTTCTGCTGCCATACTTGAAATCTGGTTGGTTTTTATTGTTATTACTATCATTATCTTCTTTCTTGTATGAATTGCTCATGTCCATAGCTGTGAATAGATGTTCTGTGTAATGTACCTAAGACTGGAGACCTTGCAGGATGTCCAGCCCTCCCAGGCAGCTCTCCTGGTTGGGGCTCAGATGGGGCTGGAGTTTATTTATGTGGGGCTTTGGGCATGAAGTCACTGGTGAGTAAATTTTTTAGAGGGGCTGTGCATCTCCTGAGGTAGAACTGCCTGGAGCTGGCACACAGGTGCCTGCATTTCTGTTTGTGGTGTTTCCAGTGAGCTCCTTGGGCAGTTCTTCCAGATGGAGCAACTTCCCAAGGGCCTGGAGGCTGGGAGGGCCCTGGGATGACAGATGGCTTGTCACATCCATGTAACACAAGAGCAGGCAGGGACAGCCAAGTTCACATGAAACTGGAGAATGATCAGGGCAGGCAAATGAATTATTCATTTACAAAGCTCTGGGAGTAATCAAACCCAGCATGTGATATGTAGCCTGTGGAGATGGCTACTGAGCTATAAGAATTCCACAGAGAGGGAAAAAAACATGGAGGAAGATTGGTGCCTCGCTGAGTGTTAACTTTGTCTCTCATTAGATGTGACCTAATGTCAATAAACATTTTAGCTTTGCAAACTCTTATTTAAAAACGTGCCTGGAAGTGACTGAACCCTGAACTGCTTGGTGAATTAAAATGAGCAGAATCTTCTGGTGCACTGTAATTGTCAGGTGGCATCACACTGTTAAACTGACTCCAGGTAGGTCAGGAGTCTGAATACATCCATGAATTAAAAACTGCTTTGTCTTTAAAGCCACCAAACAATATTCTTTCAAATGCAAGTATTTCTGGGTTAAAATGCTTGGTTGAGTCTTGGGTAATAAATATGAATCTGACAGTGAACAAATGCAAATTAAAAATGGAACATGTATGGCTTTTATGAAAAGATTTGTTCTTACTTCAGTAAGTGTGATTATGGTTTTCTATTTCTCTGAATAATTTTATTCTGATTCATTCTGTCATTTTAGACTACTAAGAAATATGCCACGAGACAAAGAACAACTAGGCAAGACAGGCAAGAATATTCTTTTTTGGTAGAATAAGCTTTAGTAGATATTAGTAAAAGATACTAGTATGATTGTTAAGATACATTTTTATGATTAATATATCTTATTATCTAGATGTTAGTAAAATGATGTTGAGGTAGTAGATACAACAAAAGGGTATCTTCTGATCCTTTGAATGTAGAAAAGATGCTTTTATGTAAAAGGTGACTTCAGTTTTCAGAACAAATAGCAGTGAAGTGTTTCAACAATCTTGTTATTCAAATGACAAGCAGAAAGAATTGCAGCCCAAAGGTTGCTGCAGTAAAACAGTGGTGGTTTTTTGGTTGATATTAATAGTTCTGACCATCTCTGCTGTTACTTGCCAGAGAAATTTCTTGGCCAGATTGTGTCCTAAGGCAGATACAGCAGAGTCTCTGTGGTCCCATTGGATACTAAAGTGAGTGGGGTGGGAGAGAAGGTGCCTGGGCAGTCCCTGTCCCACAGGGTGCAGGGCCAGGTGCTGCCCAGGCTGGGAGCTTTCTGCAGTAAATCTGCTTGTGATTCCTGGGGAATTAAACCCTGCTCCCTGGAGAATGGCTGCAGTTGAGGTTGTCCCTGAGAGGGCAATATGTTCCCATCACTAGGTCCTGTAGGTAATATTTTTTCTATATGAAGAAATTAAAGAAGGCCAAAGTTGCCTACAGGGGTCAAGTGGGCAGTCTGTGGCAAAGGAAAATGTAATTGGTGTTTTTTTGACTGCTGTTCTGGTCAGTGGGACACACTGAAATGTGTGCAGATGCACGTGAGGAGAAGGAACACAGGAAGGCTTTTTGCAGACTCTGGTACCAGCAGTGATCTGAAGAGATCAGCCATATTCACTCAGACAGTTTGGGAATTTTGTTTACTTAAAAAAAACCAGTAATTTTTCTGGAATGAAACTGTCTCAGCAGTAAAATACCAAATTATTTTTTTGCATTTATCATTGAGGTTTGTGAACAGTTATATAGTTATGTAAAACCAGCTGTTGCATGAGCTGCTCAGCAAAGATAAATTCCAGTACAGTCCTGTCAAATTCCCTGGTAACTCAGGAGTTACACCAGCTGTTGGGCCAGGCTGCTGTGTTTCATCCTGAGATGTTCAGAGAACCTCACAGTTAAATAGCAATGTTTGCAAAATGCTGGATGCCAAGGGCAGCAAAGGATAAACGTGCCATCAGTTCTGGTTTTGGCTCATTTCCAGTTTTCTGGTTACTGCTGCTGTTGGGCAGCAGTTCAAGTGCACCTAAAGGCTGCTTAGTCCAGTTGATATGTTAAACCTTAACATTTGAGCTCCAGCTCTGGTCTTTATGCCTGCTCTATATGACTATCTTTGTTAGTAAAACCCTTAGAAATACCCAGAGAATTAATTGTTTAGACAAGTTGTATTCTAGATTATTACCCTCTGTAAAACAATGTTGGGATTTTTTGCATGTCTACTCCTCCAGGTAAAAATCATCTCCTACACCCTTCTCCTTTTTTCATGTGAACAATCTTAAAAGCAGCTTTTGCCAGAAATAGGTCGGACAATATAGACATAGTTAATTCTTGTGGTTTTTTGCAAGAATTTTTGTTCAGCGAATAGACAGTCCTGAGCTTACCTTTCACACTTGTGAGTTGTACTGTCAGGCTTCAAAAAATCTCTTACAGTTGTTTCAAGATGTGTGGGAAATTACATGCTGCTGTTAATTGCTGGCCACAAAAATGTTACATATGGAGAAGGAGTTCACCTTGAAATCTGCTCACACCTAGGACCTGATGCTTCAGGCAGACAAATGTAACTTTAAATGGTTTTCAAGTACGTACCACCATCAGAAATATTGATCAGAAAGTTGTATGTAACAGCTGTATAGAAATCAAAGTAATTGAAGAAAACTGCTTTTCTATTTTCTCCTTCAGCTTGCATTCCTATTCTAGCAATATTTTGCTATTTCCTGGAATCCAGGAAAAGCAGTTTTCTAAAAGCTGACACCAATTAGTATATTTTTGTTGCCAGAGTGAAACAAATAGAAAAAGAAGTAAAGAAAGCACTGGCAGAATAGTAAGGATAGTGAGCCACATTTCTGCTTTCTGTGCTGAGTTTGTCTGTACTCGCACTCCCACAAAAGGCCTCTAATGTTACTGTTGCTGCAGAGAAGAGCAGATGCTGTTGCTTTGTTGTGCTTTACCATCTCATGAAATAGCAAGGAAAAACATGGCAAGTTTAAGTACACCTTGCCATTTCCCAGAGCTTTTTGTGCCTGAGCTGCTTCACTCTGCAGTAACAGAACGTGTCCCATGAATGGAGTTCAGTGTCTGTAAACCAATAGCATTCCTTCAAGTAAAAGGCTTTGCTGAAGAGTATGTCATTGATTTGTTTGGTATTGATTTTTAAAGAGAACATTTTTCTCCACAACTTGTGTAATCCTGTAATAAAGCAGTTGTTTCTGGTGCTCCTGTTAGGAGTGTTCCTGTCTGAGAGGGGGGTGTTTTCCTCCCGTAGATCGGAAGGACGCCGAGGGCTGGGAGACGGTTCAGCGTGGGAGGCCCGTTCGCTCTCGCTCCACTGCTTTGGCAGCAAAGGCTCCTGCAGCTGCAGAATCACTGAAGTCCAGAGGTGACAGTGACAAGGAAAATGTCCTTTCACCACCAGCAGAAAACAAGCATGGGAGCTCAGTCACCGGCAGCGCTGCGTCTGAAAGCACAGAGCTGGTGCAGAAGGATCCTTTGCATCACTCTGAGGGTCCCCTTACTGAGAAGGCTCAGGTCAGTCCATCATTTTGAACTGTTTTCTAACCCTAAATCTTGCAACTTTTCTTCAGAACATTTTCTAAAGGTGGTGTTGGCTAGAGCTTTTGTGAACTTACCAGATCAGGAAAGGCTGTTCAAATAATGGTTATTTCAGTTACATTTATGAAAATGCAGTTAGGATGTCAGCACAAGTAGGCTAATTAAAGTTATGATGCTGTGGACAGTTTTTCCATGTTTTCCAACCAGTCAGCATTCAACACATCTCATACATACATTTCAGGTAGAAAGATCCAACTTTTTCAAGGTAATGAGCACCTGAAATAAGTGAAGTTATTTGCATCACTCACTGTTGTTGGTTGTTTCCTTACAATTTGACTCTGACTTTTAAAATCAGTATGATCCATTTTGTTAATTTTGCAAATGCCTCTTGTTAGTTCCCAGCCTCGGAAGCCAATGGGAGCCCTGGCACAGCATTGCAGGGGGATTCCTTAGAACCAGCTCCTGAGATGCCTCCAGTTCTCAGCAGCACTGACTGCAGTTCAGAAACTCTGCAGATGAATGAGGCTTCCCCCCAGAGCACTGGCTGTGCAGACTTGCATCAAACAGAAAAAGCTAAATCTGAAACTGAAATGGATCCTGCAGATATTTCAAATGTGAGTGCTGCCAGATTGGTAAGAAACCTCATAAGATTTGTGAGTGAATAATAAATCTAAGCCTTAATTTTCTTGGTCTGTGTTGCACAGTGTTTGCTGTTAGCCTTATGTAAAAACTGTAGAAAAATCTATGAGGTACCTTCTGTAGGAAAAATAAATTGTTGCACAAATTCTTTACTTGTAAAATTCAATTCTGGTAAAGTTTCAGAACTTAAACTAGAAAGATAAAAGTGTGTTACTTGGAATAGATAGATCTTTGCTCTTATTACTTATTTTAATAATGTTTGTGCTAATTTTTCATTTAAGTCACACTCTCATTAAAGTCCTGCTTCAGTTTTGCTCATCATTCAAACTGGAAGCACATGGGATATCAAAATTCTGTTAGAAACAGTCAGACCTCTGCCTTTTAAGTCCTGCTGAGCTGCTCTGCTGGGTCTTCCTTTACAACAAGCAATTTGGAGGAATGCCATTCTTACAGCAAAAAGCATGAAGTCAGTTTTCTGTTTTTATCTGGTTTCCCAAAAAGAGTGTGCTTTCCTGCCTGGAGAATTCTGCAGGTCTCAGGGTGTGTTTGCTTCACTGGGATTCTCTGACTGGAGAGTTGCAGTAATGTTACACAAAATCCAGGTTATATTTCCAGGTGCTTTGTTTTGCCCTGGGTTTTTAGGGGTTTGTGTCCATTTTGGTTTGGTTTGGTTTTGTTTTGTCAGAAACTAGATTAAAATTCTGATTTGCAGAAGTTTTCCTGTAAATCACTTTCCCCCTAACTTTTGCAAGCTGGAGTCCTGCTAGGTAATTTCCAAGCCAAGTACCTGTTTGCTTTTAGAACAGATTTCAAGCATCTCACCCACTAACATTGTTTCAGATGCTCAGTTATTAGCAGTTCAGGATGCTGCCAGGTTGGTGGAATCTGTGTCTCTTGGAAGCTTTTTACTGCCCCAGATTAGCCTGCTTTGAGCCCCAGTTTGTGTATTGTGGTGCACTGTCTGGTACTGGAGTGGAGTGGTCTGGTTAATGCTGGACACTAGAGAAGGAAACACAATCAGCACATCCAGGCTTACATTTTTGCCCCATTCTTTTGTCATTCATGCTGGAAAACAAGTACAGCCTGAGATTCCATTGTATTAACTATAGTGAAATTTCCAGATACAGCTCATGCAGATAATTTCCATCTTTAAATAATACTTTGGAGCATGGTTCCTTTTGTAGAGGTGACAGCATGGCATGCACTCATGTCTCAGAGTATGCCTTGCTTAGTCCCCAAGAGTAAGTATTTAAAGCAGTAATTGCAGGAGAACTGTCTTTGTGCTTTCAATGACAGGGTTGGCAGAACAAGTTTTTTAATTATGTGAATAATTAATTTTGTGTTCCATGTAGTTACTGAGTTAATAGTTGCTACTTTTAGTGGGGTTTGTATTTTCAGCTACTTTCACAACATATACCAGTAAAAAAACTGTAAGTAAAGAGAAGTTGAGCAAAATATCATACAATTCATGTTAACTATGTAGAATCCTCCTTTTTGTGCCTGCTACTGATTTTGGTTATTTTTCTGGTGTCATGTTTGCTCCAGTCCATGGCAGAAGTCCTGGCTAAGAAAGAGGAGTTGGCAGATCGGCTGGAGAAGGCCAATGAAGAAGCCATTGCCAGTGCTATTGCAGAGGAGGAGCAGTTAACCAGGGAGATTGAGGCAGAGGAGAACAATGACATTAACATCGAGACTGACAATGACAGTGACTTCTCTGTGAGTGTCCAGTTCATTGTTCTGTACCCTGTTAAAGCTGTGTTGTCAGTGCAGAACGAATATAGAATTTTTAGTGTTTTTTTTGGCATTGAAATAACCTGTTTGACATGTGCCATGTAATAATTATCCCACACTGAGGGATATTTTGTCTTACTAAACTCAGCAGCCCTGTGCTGCTGTGTGATGCAGAGCCCTCTGAGCTTGCAGTATCCTGCTGCTGATTTCTGGGTGCAAAACGGGGAGCTGAGACTTGTTACATTCATTGCTACTGTGGAAGTGTAGATGAAGCAAAAGTCTTCATTTTTACTGTCAGACTGGGAACAGCACTGACCTTTGGGGAGGCCAGTTCTGTTTGGAAACATTGCTGAATATTGCTGAGTTGGCACTGTTTAATCTGCGTGTGCACCTGTGAGTTAAAGTTTGGTTTTACTCTGGTTCATGTTAAATTTCAGGCTAATATGGGCAATGGAAGCATATCCTTCTGTGGTTTGTCTATGGACTGGAATGATGTTCTGGCAGATTATGAAGGTAAATTTTTGTATATTACTGTGCTTACATGGAAATCTAAAATTTAGAAAAATGCCTGTTTTATTCATGGCCAGTTAAGGTTTCAGAAGTTTGCCCAACACATTCCAAGTAATGTTATCTTCTCTGTTGTTTCCTGAGGAAAGATGGAGTTTGTGTTCAGACTCTGTGTCTCATTGTTCTTAAGTTCTCTTTCTGCTTCTCTCTATTAGAACTTTATGGTTTTTAATCCAGATTTATATTATCATCTGGATCAAAGTGCAATAAAATCATTAAGCATTAAAAAAGGACACGCATATTAAAGATGCTTCAGTCTGTGTTTGCACCTAGGCCCAAGGAAGCCCATCTGAGGGAGAACTAGAGAGAGTAATCCTTTATTACTGGCATTTCTTGTGTGTTTAAATTATCCCCACTCTGG